ATATCACACATGCACTAGTGACCAGTACCACTATCATGAAGTGAGGTAGGTGAGAGTTAAAGATATGTAAGGTTAAAAGAAAATTGTATAAATGCTGTTGGAAAATATAAGAAAGAATGATAGAAAAGATAAAAAAGAATGATAGAAAAGATTAAAAGATTCCCTTGCGTCAAATTTCTTTTTGCTTCTAGTGATATGCCGGGTTTGAAAATTCTAGAATTTTCAGTTGGACGGGTTTTCATAAGGTCGTTTGGATTAAATGCAGTAATTCATACTATTTCTTTATTCACTTTTCAATTTCTGGATAAAATTTCTGGCTTTCCGGAGGGCCCAATACAATATTAAAATAATAATGGCACAAAAAAAGCAAAATAAAAATACAATGAATGCGATCACATCGATTGAGAAATAAGTAATTGTGTTGAGATGAACTCCGTACAAGTTGGAATCAAGCGATCCGCCAAACTCAGCCACGTACTCGATCCAATCCAGGAAAAGTTGCGTAACATTGTGCGGATAATGCAGCAGCTGTTGCTGGAGTTGCTTCGCTGCTTCTGAGTAACTGCAAGTAAGACAAGTGCTGGATAAAAGTAAGACGAAAGAAACACGCATAATGGCAATGTGTAGGCAGATAAGAGGAAAAGGAAGTTTTTATATATACACGTGTTTTTGTGTTATCCATTATACATATATATGAATGTTATTAGTGGCATGTGTAAATTCGGCCGAATTGTCCTATGTCCAACCGCTGTATACAGTGTGAAAATGGGCCGAACCACAAACTACTAAAATACACTGCGACTTAGCCCGGTGGGCTAGAATGCGAACATGATTTGAAATCCTATTGACTCGGAGTCGTATTAGAAAAATTATTGAGGCGAAGGGTTGAAAGAAGAGGGTGTGGATTGTGAGGCCTAGGATATGCGGCGTGAAACCGTATGTTATGTTGTAGAGTTATATAAAAAAGAATAACCCAGGCTGGAACGCACCAGGCGGGCCGGAGCGATTATGCGTTTTTGCACTTCCCGTGCAGTAGCAAGATCGCAAGGAATCACAGTAGCTAACCCTGC